GAGAAAACCATCAGCAGATACTTGCAAAAGAAGTGAACACACACACACACACACACACACACACAGTCCAGTAGGTCAGACACACACACACACACAGTCCAGTAGGTCGGTCTCTCTCACACACACACACACACACACACACACACACACACAGTCCAGTAGGTCGGTCTCACACACACACACACACACAGTCCAGTAGGTTGGTCTCTCACACACACACACACACACACACACACACACACACACAGTCCAGTAGGTCAGACACACACACACACACAGTCCAGTAGGTTGGTCTCTCTCACACACACACACACACACACACACACACAGTCCAGTAGGTCAGACACACACACACAGTCCAGTAGGTCGGACACACACACACACACACACACACAATGAGAGAGAGAGAGAGAGAGGCAGAGGGAGAAGCAGGATACCCTCTGAGCAGGGAGCCCGATGCGGGACCCGATCCCAGGACCCTGGGATCACGACGTGAGCTGAAGGCAGACGCTTAACCATCTGAGCCAACCAGACACCCGAGCCACGGAGGTCTTGTTCAAGGTCAGACACTGGTCTGTATCTGCAGAGCCAGGCTTGGACCCTTCCCATGTGCCCATTTGACAGGCAGGAGGCTAAGGCACAGAGGCTTGCCTGATTTGGCGGACCATGATGTGCCAAGTCCCATGGGCTCTTGGTACATGAGTCCCTTCCCTGAACCCTCACAATACCCCTGAGGACAGCTGCATTAGCCCCATTTTCCAGAAGAGGGTCCTGACGCTCAGAGAGGGAAAGCCCACACTTGAGGTCACAAGGCAAGTGGTAGGCAGGAATTGGGGGATAAGCTGAGACCCAAAAGCTCCCATTCATACGCTCTGTGCCAGGTGGCCCTGAGAGGAAGCCTAGCATGAGGGCTGGTGGCCTGGGCCCAATCCCTGGCTCCATCTCTTATTTGCCAGGCGTCTTTGGGCAACTTACTTACCCCCTCTGGACTTGAGTTTGGGAGTCCTTCTCCTAGCACTTGGCCTAAAATGGGAATGCTTGCCCTAACTCCCACCTCTTTTCTCCAGTGCCACTGGATAAACCATGCTAAACCTTTGTTTTGTTTGCTTGTAATCCATTTCCCCAATTTGAACCTAAGCCCTGTGAGGCCTGGGGCCCTGTTTGTCTTACTTCTCTGAGCCCTGCCCTGTCTGAAGACACAGCACCCCCTCTGCCCTGCCCTTCTGGGGCTCACGGTCCAGTAGGTTGGTCTCTCACACACACACACCTCCACACACACACACACACACACACAGTCCAGTAGGTCGGTCTCTCTCTCACACACACACACACACACACACAGAGTCCAGTAGGTCGGACACACACACACACACACACACACACTCCAGTAGGTCAGACACACACACACACACACACACACAGTCCAGTAGGTCGGACACACACACACACACACACAGAGTCCAGTAGGTCGGTCTCTCTCACACACACACACACACACACACACAGACACACACAGTCCAGTAGGTAGGACACACACACACAGAGTCCAGTAGGTTGGTCTCACACACACACACACACACACAGTCCAGTAGGTTGGTCTCTCACACACACACACACACAGTCCAGTAGGTTGGTCTCTCACACACACACACACACACACAGTCCAGTAGGTCAGACACACACACACACACACACACAGTCCAGTAGGTCGGACACACACACACATAAACACACACAGTCCAGTAGGTCGGACACACACACACACACACACACAGTCCAGTAGGTCAGACACACACACACACAAACACACACAGTCCAGTAGGTCAGACACACACACACACACACAGAGTCCAGTAGGTCGGATACACACACACACACACACAGTCCAGTAGGTCGGACACACACACACACAAACACACACAGTCCAGTAGGTCGGACACACACACACACAAACACACACAGTCCAGTAGGTCGGACACACACACACAGTCCAGTAGGTCGGACACACACACACACACACACACAATCCAGTAGGTCGGATACACACACACACACACACACAGTCCAGTAGGTCAGACACACACACACACACACACACACACACAGTCCAGTAGGTCAGACACACACACACACACAGTCCAGTAGGTTGGTCTCTCTCACACACACACACACACACACACACACACAGTCCAGTAGGTTGGTCTCTCACACACACACACACACACACACTCCAGTAGGTCAGACACACACACACACACACACAGTCCAGTAGGTCGGACACACACACACACAGTCCAGTAGGTCAGACACACACACACACAAACACACACAGTCCAGTAGGTCGGACACACACACACACACACACACACACAGTCCAGTAGGTCAGACACACACACACACACAGTCCAGTAGGTCGGACGGACGGACGGACACACACACACACACACCCTCTCCAGACACTGATGACCCAGAGTGTTCAGCACAGGGACAGACCAAGAGGATGCCAGAGCGGGAGACCTGGAGGATGAGAAAGAGTGAGCAAGAGTGAGTCAGGTGAAGAAAATGGAAGAAGAGGGTTCCAGGCTCCACGAATAGTTCTTCAATGAATAAAGGAAGGAAGGAAGACAGAGGCAGACACACTGACACTAGGAAAAGGAGAAGTCAGGTCCTGGGGAGATGGCCAGGAACAACAGAACAATTCCTCCTGCAGCCTAATATCTGGCGATCTTTCAAATGGCTCCGATGTCCCCTCTTCTGGGAAGCCCTCCTTGACCCCCAGGCTGGGTCAGGCACTCCTTCGGGCTGCCCCAGCCCCTGGGCTCACCTATCCCAGCCCTGCCCGTTCTGGGTTTGTCGCCGTTAGGTGATGAGTGTGTCTCTTCAGGACTGGGAGCCCCGGAGGGCAGGCCCAGGACTTCCCAGAAACAAGCAAGGGCAGAACCAGACAGCCTAAGTCTGACGGACCCTCCCTGGAATGCCAGTGCCTTCGAGGACTACCTCCAGCCTCCTGGCTGCGTTCCAGAGGCCAGCAGGCCAGCTCTCTTGACGGCTGAGGTGCTACTCAAGTGGCCGTTTGGCCTGGGGTGGGGAGCCCGGTATCTCCGAGCCTGACACCTGGCTCTACGAATGCTGACCACGAGGCCTCAGGCAAACAGCCTTCCCTCCCTGCATCTCCGCTGGCTCATCTGAAAATGCAGGAATCACGATCGGCCGTGCCCTGCCTCGCCGAGCTGTGAGGGCTAAATAAACTCTCATATGGAATGTGGCCACAGCAGAGAAAACCATCAGCAGATACTTGCAAAAGAAGTGAATACATGACTGACTGAGGAGAAGAGGAGAATCAGAGGAAATGGGAGCGGACTGCACTTCACGCATCTACCCAACGACACCGTATCCCGGCCCTGTTCTATCTGCTTTACAAATTGGGTGCATCTAACCCTCGAGACAGTCCCCATTTTAGAGATGAGGCCACAAAGGCACAGAGAGGTTAAGTCATTTGCCCGGAGGTCACACAGCATGCTGGAGAAAGAAACAAGATTTGGATCCAGGCAGCCCGAGATCTTAACCATGTCTACAAAGTCTTAGACCCAGGGGCCTCTTTGGGGGTTAAATACAACCCCTCCCATTTTACAGGGCGGGGGGGCGATGAGGACCAGAGAGAGGGCAAGAGAGCAGAGCAACATCGGGGACCAGGCTCTGAGCTCACAGAGGGGATCCAGCCGTGTTGGCAGGGGGGGCTACCCTCTTCCCCCTGCAGGCTCCAGGTAAGGACTCTGAACATGGGAGCCAAGCACGCGGCGAGGAAGGGGGATATCCGGGCTCTGCTGCTCACACTCTGACCTCGGGCAAGTGGTTTCACTTCTCTGAGCCTCAGCTTCCTCTATAAAACAAACAGGGCTGCTCCTACCTACCTCCCAGTGCCACGGGGAAGATTAAGCAAAGTGGTGTACCTGGCCACCACAGGGGCTCAATTAAGGAGAGCTGTAATTATTCTTTTTATTGTTATTCCCACAGCCCCCGAGGCTGGGGCTCTGTGCCTGCCACTGCCTGCCAGACAGCGGAGGGGCCTGGACCAGGAGGAGCTTTCTCCTCTGCCAGCTCAATGCGAGCACCTCTGGCTGCCTGCCCAGCCTCAGGGCTTCTGAGCGCCCAGGTCCTGGGGGGCAGGGGGCCCCTCCCCATGGCTTACTGTTTCCCAGAATTCTTACCTCGCCTCAGCATCAACCCTCGTGCTGGCTGCTCCTTCCTAGCCCCATTTCAGGGACAGCCCCACCTTCCTTGCCATCCCCCAGCTGGAGACCGTGCCTTCTCCTGGACACTTCTCCTGACCCTTCAACCCCCCAACGCCAGGCAGTGGCCATGTTCTGTCAAGTCAGCCTCCCCAACATCTCAGATTTATTCATCCACTTCCATCCCTACAGCCCCGCCCTGCCCCAGTCTGGCCTTCATCCTGTTCGACCCCGGTTCCTGCCCCATCCTCCTCCCTGCTCTCCCAGCCTCCGGTCCTGCCCCTCTGCAGGGGGTCTGGCTAAAGCACAAACCTGACTCTGTCTTTCCCTTTCTCAGAACTATCCATGGCTCCCCAGAGTCCCCAGAAGAAAGCTCAGGCTCCTCCCCTGCCTCTTACACTCCAGCCCCACTCACTTCCTCGGTGCCAGGCTCTGCTCCCCTTTGCCAGGATAGGCCTCTGCCATCCTGTTCTTTCTGCCTGGCATTCCCTCCTCCCTCTCTCCAGCCCTCATTTCCTCTCTGAAACATTTAAGTTGGTTTCTGTCTCTGGTCACCAACGCCACCACCCCTCACCTGTGCGCCATCCTAGTCTCCTTCCTGGCTCCAGCTCTGCCCTTGCATCCAATCCCAGCCAAGAAGCTGGGGGATCTTACCATGCCTCCCCAGCACCCTGAGGATGACATCCACACTCCACCTCCAGCCTCATCCCTCACAGGCCCTACATCCTTGTTGCTGCAGCCTGACCAAATGCTCCCACTCTGAATCCCCTTGTGCTCCCACTACAGGCCAACTGAAGGCCACTAAGGCTCTAGATTCCTCCCCCACTCCCTTCTCCCGGGCTTTGCTGCTGTAGGTCTCCCTTCTCTCCCGCAGGATCAATTCTGGCTATCGGACCAGACTCTTAGACTCATCCATCCTTTTAAAAAAAAAAAAAAAGGCAGCTCCCCCTCCCTGTTTCTCCACTCCTTTTTAGGACCAAAATACTCGAACCACTTTGTCAACATCTGCTGTCTCTACTTCCTCACTTCCTGTTCACTTTTGGGTGAGTGACTACCCAGCTGACTACCACCTTCATTATTCCCCAGAAACTGCTCTGTTAAGGCTACCACCAACATTCGTGGAGCCAAATCCAATAGTCAAGGCTCAGTGCTCACCCTGGCAGCACCCGACCCAAGGCATAGCCCTCTCCTTCTAGAGGCACTCTCTTCTCTCATCTTTCCTGACACCTTTCCCGACTGCCCTTCCACTTCACTGACTACTCCTCCTCAGCCTCTTCTCCTTCTTTTCTAAACATTAAAATTCCTCAAGGTTCTGGCCCCTTCTCTCCCTATATGACCTCATCCATTCCCAGGTGTTCTATTCCATTCATAGGCTGACCATGCCCAAATTCTCCTCGGAGCTCCAGACTGGCCCATCTGTCTACTCAATGTCTCCTCTTAGAGTAAAATCCAAACTAGCTTTGCAGTGACTTCTGAAACCCTATCTGGTTCTGGCCCTGTTCTAAACTCATCTTGTATCAGTCTCCCCACTAATTTGCTAAAGTTTCAGCCACGCCAGCCTTTCATTTCCTACCTCAAGACCTTTATACATGTGGCTGCACCCACCTGGAACACTCCCTTGAGATTCTTTTCAACTTAAATGCCTTCTCCTCAGTAAGGCCTTCCCTGACCATGCTTTCTAAAGTAGCCTCCAGCCCTTGTTCTCTACTTCACACCCTGTGGGGGTTGTTTTCAAAGCATTCCTCACAACTTCTAAGTATTTTATTATTTCTTGTGTTTTTACCCAATGTCTGATTCTCCTGCTAAATTACATGCTATAAAAGGGCAGGGCCACATCTGCCTCATTCACTGCTAAATCCCGAGTCTAGCACAGGCCTTAGCACAAAGCAGGTGCTCAATAAACATGTTGAATTAGTGAATGAATGAGTGCCCCCACATCTTACTTTCCCAAGATCTATGTCATACTATTCTTGGGATTTCCCACCTTTACTCCCAGGGCCTCCCACGCATCCCTTTTCCTCGTGCAACCCCAAATCTCCTATCTCCTTGCCCTCCCACCTAATGATCTATTCCCCACCCCCACAATTCCCTACTCTATTGGGACAGTGCCCCCCACGCCCCACTTGGTGCCACCACCCCAGATCTCCCCATTTGGTAGCACCATCACTCCCCAGCCCCCTGTCACTACTTGACAGCGCCCTCTTCAGGTCTCACCATAGCTAGCACCTCTCAAGGATCTCACATACGGATATGCCCTCGTTCCCGTCCCCCTCCCGCCTCACACTTGGTAGCGCCCTCCCCAGTCTCCCCACTTAGTAGCACCCGCTCCGAACGCCACTACTAGGTATCACCCCTTCTGTCAGAAGCCCCTCCTGTCGCCCCCTCGTAGCGCCATCCTGGGCCTCCCCACGCCGGGTCACTTGGTAGTGTCTGCCCCGCGCCCAGGCTGCCGCTCCGCGTTGCCATGGTTCCGGCGCGGGCCGGGCACCCCTTGCCCTGGGCCGCTCTCCACCCTCCCTTGGTCCCCTCCGGGGTGGGCTCACCCTTGAAGTAGTCGTTGGCCTGCGTCTTGAGCTCCTCTGCCCGCTTCAAAGCGCCATCAGCCGGGGGCTCGTCCCGGGGGGGCTCAGCACACTCAGTCCGCTCGCCCTCCGCCATCGCCATGCCGCAAAGCGACCCCCACCCTGGCAACGGCCGCCAGGGGCACCCGGCCGAATCGTCGCGAAGGAGTGCCGAGTTGCTGCTGCCGCTGCTGCACAAGTGTCGTAAAGCGCGGGCCCCCGAAGGCGCCCTTCGCGCGCGTGCGCAGGGCCCTCTTGCCATAGAGCGCGCGGAGGACAAGGTGACCAGAGGGCCCCTAGACAGCGCCCTTCTTAGAACGAGCCAATGGGGAGGGCGAAAGGGGGCGCGCGGGGCGCGGGGGAGGAAGGCTCCCAAAGTTACCGTGTGCCAAGGCCGCAGAAGTTCGGGGCGGGGGGCGAGGGGAGAAGGGCTTCCACGGTGGGATTTCCCCGTCCCGGCTTCTCGGGTGGGTGGGTGTGGTTGCAGGGCAGCTCCGGGCCCAGCGCAGAACCAGAGCCGGGAGACTAGCCCTCCTGCCAATTATTTGTGTGACCTTGAGCAATTTAGGGGCAGTTCCCCCCGTCTGAAAAATGCGTGGTTTCTCAAACCGAGAGAATAAAGTTCCAATTTTGAGGGCAGTGCTCCTAGCTGTTAACTGTAGGCGCCCTGGATCCCCTAGTCCTGAGCAAGGCTCAGAAGTTTGTTACACCATCTCCTTCCTTCAGCCTCATCCCCCAGTCCCCAGCCTGCCTAGGTGCCTCAGTGCCCTTAGAAAAAAAAAAACCCTCAACTCTTTCTAATGACCTAGGAAACCCTGAATAGTACAGCCTCAGGCGGTATCTCTAGATGCCACCCCCACCCACTGTACACCCTTGCAGGCCATCCTTTCCAAGCCCTCAGCTGGGACTCCTGTGGAACTATAGCACTAAATCCTTTAAGGCCCTGCTGTGGCTTCCCCTCTTGGAAGCATGAGCTATCCCATTCCCCAATCTTGTCCTGGCAGCCTGATCCCACCACCTTCTGTCACAGCCAACCCTCAGCCTAGAAGGTAGATACTAGTATCAGCTGCATTTTACCACTGAGGGCACTGAGATACGTAGAGGTCAACAAACTTGCCCAAGGTCATACAAAGAGAGCGGCAGAGCCAGGACTTCACCTTGTCCCACCTGATTCTGTGCTCTTCAGTCCTACTCTACTGTCTCTACGCTCCATAGCCCACCTTGTGGGTTAGATTTTTGAGATTTTTAGGGGTGTGTATGGGAAAGCTGCTGTAATGGATTTGAATCCCAGATTCGAATCCAGCTCAGTCCTTCCCCGCTGTGTGACCTTAGCAAGTGATCATCCTCCCTGAATCTCAGTTTCGTCCTCTGTAAAATGGGGACGATAACTGTGCCTATTATAGATGATTAGAGGAAAGTTTGATAAGATCATAGGAATAAAGTACTTTTTAATACCTACTCCATTATAAATATCCAGAATGGGACTGAGTACCTAGAGCTGTGAGGGGAGGGGCTCTCAGGAGGTCTTGGGAGGACCTCATCTTGCTGGGAGGGCAGGGAAGACTTCCTGGAGGAGGGGTCTCTGAACCAAGATCTGAAGTGTGAGTAGGAGATAACCAAGTGAGAAGGAGGAAGGGAGAAAGGCATTTAAGGCAAGGGGGCAACAAATGTCAAGGCTTGGAAGTGTTTTCTCTCTTTGAAAAGATTCCTACATGACGGGGCACATGGCTGGCCCTGTAGAGCATGTGGCTCTTGACCTTGGGGTCATGAGTTCAAGCCCCCATTGAGCATAGAGATTACTTAAAAATAAGGAAACATGACCAAAAAAAAAAAAAAAGATTCCTCCATGGAACATAGGAGAGGGGTTATACCGAGACAGGACACAAAAGGCACGCCCATCTGCACATGAATCTGTAGACACACAATCTCTCACACATACACTGAAGTACAGAAAACCGTGTCACATAGATATCAGTATACGGAATGATAGTGTCAAACAGTCCCATATGTGTAAGCACAATTTCAACACAAAACCTCCCACACTCAGGAACACAGAAACCCGGAGTCACCAGAAACACACATAAAGCAGGATCATTTCACTCGGATACTAACACACAGGTAGATGGAATTACAACTCCCCACCCCCACAGGGTCACAGAATTATTTCACAAAGACATATATGTAGAATTACAACATCACCAGGCCCACAATGTTACTTAGACCCATGCAGGAACACAGAGTCACACATACACACAGAATCACAGCCACACGGGACAACCAGTGTACCCACACACCCTGAAGCAACCCCAAAGATGAGTCAACACACAGAGCTCTGGTGCCTACCAAGGCGAGGTCTTTATGGTGGCGTAGAGATTAGTGGGTTTCAGAGCCAGAGTGGCTGGGCCAGTCCCTTCCCCTCCCCAACCCAGCCCAGTTCCCTCCATTGAGGGCCCAGGTTACCCCCTGAGGGAAGGAGGGACCCGACCCTTCTTCCCCATAGCACCAATCTGGATAGGCCATCCCATGACAAAACAGAGTGAGAAGTGCCTTCCAAAAAGGAGGTGAATTGGGCTGAGAGAGGGGGGGCCTTTTCGTGTGGGAGACCCAAAAGTAGCACCATCGTAGAAACAGGGTTGGAGGGTAAGAGTGACACCCAGGTGGTGGCAGGAGTACTAAGGAGTCCTGGCCTCTCTCCCCACCCCATGATAGGCAGATAGAGCTGTGCGTGTGTCTGTACAGCTGGGGAAGTCTCCTGGATTGTAAGGGAGCCCCAGGTCCCCAGGGTACCTGGGGTAAAGTAAAGGTAAGTGCATCCCTGGAGAGCTGAGCATTCCAAGACAGGGAAACTGTAGGGATAAGAAGAGCTCAAGGATGCTGAGGCTTGAGCATGAGGTGCACTAGTGGAGGGACCTGGAATGGGAAGACTTCAGACAGAGCAGGAATTGGGGCAAGCTGAGTAGGGCAGGAAGCCCAGAATAGAATTAGGAGGGTGGGGTCTGGAATCAGAGAGTCAGAGGTCTTCAGATTCTGAACCAGAGGAATCCACAGGGTGACATCCAGATTCTAGAATCAGAAGCACCTGGAGGCTGAGTTCTTGAACCAAAAGAATTTGGATCTGAAATCAGAGACAGTTGGAGGCTGTGAGGCCTAGAACCAGAGGAATCCATAGAGTAAGAATAGAATTTGAAAAACTCTGAGGACCAAGTTTTAGAACCAGAGAGATTTTGGAGTCATAAGATCTAAAATCAGGAGCTGGGCATTGTAGGGTCTAGAACCAGAAAAATTGGTAAAGGCAAGGTCTATAATCAGAAGTCTGAAGGCTAAGTTCTAGATCTAGAGTAATTTGGAGTCCTAAGATCTGGACAGCAAACTGGAGATTGTGAGGTCTAGAACCAAGGGAATCGATAGGGTGAGGTCTGGAACCGGAAGACCTCTGAAGCCAAGTTCAAGAATCAGAGAAAAGTGAGATCAGCAGATATGGAATCAGAGGGTCCTGGGGACTGCAAGTTCTAAAGGTTGGGTGGTCTCGAACCAGTGGATGGTGGTCATCACAAGGTCTAGAGCAGGAGAGACCTAGAGCATGGAGTCTGCCCCGGAAGTACTATAATGGTTGTAAGATCAACTTAAAACTCATTTTACTTCTTTTTGATGGGGAAAGTAAGTCTTGAGGGTAGAAAGTTGAAAAGGAAGGAGCTGGGCATCAAGCGTACCACCAATACGATTCAGAAATTAGGAAGTCTGGGATTTGGAGCCAGGTGTATTCCAGATCAGGAAGACCAGAACCAGTACGAAGCTTGGGTCATGGGGTCCAGAACTGGAGGCAGCTGTTGGTTGTGAGAGCTGGAATCGGCAGGAGTCAGAGCATGTGACATCTGGTACAAGGGAGACTTATTTACAGGGAAAGGTCTAGAACCAGAGGACGTCAGAGTGAGTTCTAGAACCAGAGGACTCTGGTGGGTGTAGGCTCTGGAGCTTGAGGGACTTGGAGGCCATGAGACCTAGAACCAGATAACTTGGGAGACCGTGGAGGTATGAAAAGAGACAGTGCTGGAGGTGGGGAGGTCCAGAACGAGAAAGCTGGACATTGCGAGGTCTGGAGTCAGAGGGGTCTGGAGGATGTGTTGGGGGCGGGGCAGTCTAGAAGAGCAGGTCAGAAGTTATGTGGTCTAGAACCTTAGAGAGCTGGAGGTTGCCTGGTCTGGGAGCAGAGGAAGCTGGAGGCTACCCCTGGAAATGAAACCAGTGTCCAGGCGAGGCTGGGGGCAGCGGAAGTCCCCAGTGGAGGGGCAGGCAGAGCGGGGTGGCCACTTGGAAGGCTAAGGGGCTAATCAAGTTGCTAGGGGTGAGGTCTGCCCGAAACGCCTCCCCCATTAACACCTGAGGGAGGAGGGGGGATCAGAGTCCTGCATTCTTATGGACCCCAGGCCATTCATAGCAATTCAAAACCTATCACGAAAATGAAAAAAGAGAAATAATAATAAAAGATGGATGGAAAAGAAATGTGATTATGGTTATCAATACTCCCCAGAGCCCAGAAACACAGATCTGAACCCCAACCTCCCCCACCCCTAGTCACCCAAAATCAAGCCAGGAGAGTTGGAGAAAGGGATGAGGTCACCAGTATTGAGAACCCCAAGGGAAGTCCTGAGAGAAGGAGGAGGAGGGCTCCAGGGGCCCCCCTCCCAGAGGTCACTGAGCTGAGACCACCCCAAAGAGCCCCCAGACGTGGGGGGCAGAGGGGTGAGGGCTGAGGTAGGCCCAAGGTGGGCGGGGGGGGGCTGCTGAGAGGAGAGAGGGAACCCCTCTCCTGGTACCCCCAATCCTGTGCGTTGGCTGCCGGCGTGGAGTGTGGTTGAGGTCCTTTCTGGGGAGTAGAAGGGAAGGGGGGCTGGCTCAGTTGGCCTGGGCCAAGCCTGCTGCTGGCTGGAAGTGGCTCCTGGGCTCAGCGGTGTCCTCATCCGGGTAGAGAGAGAGCAGCGAGGGGCCCAGGCCTGTGGGGGGAAGATGGAAGGTGGGGGATTACTCCCCAAACCCGTCTTCCCCTCTTGACAGTTAAAAGCATGGGTGGTGAGGCAGGCGTGCCTGGATTCAAACCATGGTAAAATCTTGGGCAAGTTCTATTCTCTGAACCTCAAAGTGCTCAGGATGTGTAAGGCAGTAGTTAACAAGGCTGGAGCCAGATGAGGCCTGAGTTTGAATCCCCGGCTCTGCTCTTTACTTGCTGTGTGACCTGAGGCAGGTGACTTCACCTGTCTGTGCCTGGGCTACCTGATATGTAAAACGAACCAACAATACTTCCTTTCCAGGGCTACTGTGGGAAGGGAATGAGTGAATCCATGTAAAGTGCTCTGGACAATAATTAGTACTGGTGAGCGCTCAGTAAGTGAGCTCCTGCTATTACCCAGGAAATAGGGAGACCTGACCTACCTCACTTGTGAGAATTTACCCAGTCAGAAAATATTTATTGAGCACCTGCTGTGTGCCAGGCACGCGGGACCCAGCAGTTAACAGGACAGACGAAACTCCCTGCCCTGAGTTCCAGGGAGGGGTGTCAGTTCGGTCATGTACACAATAGGTTTTGCACAAAACTTGGCACAGAGTGAGTGCTAGATAAATATTAGCTCTTCCTTTACAAATATGTACTGAGGCCCTGCTCTGTGTCCAGCCACTGCCCTGCCTCACAGACAGTAGAGTACGGCCATGACAAGACAAGCCTGGCCCCTGCCCTCACACGGCTCACACCCACAGACAGAGGACAGCCAAAAATCAAATAATGACATAAACACCCACCTAAATATGGTCTACGATGTTATGAGCCATGAGCTTAGGAAGTTAGGGAGGGCTTCATGGAAGCCGTAATACTTGATCTGAGATCTAAAGGATGCAGTAATTAGGCGAAGAATAGAAGGAAAAGCATTCAGGCAGAAGGATCAGCATATGCAAAGGTCCTGAGGCTGTCTCCTCAAATGAGATTACTTCAAAGTCAGCACAATGCCCTACAGAGTCCCCATGCAATTAGCCCCCCACCTTCCGCCGCGCCGCTCTGCTACAACTATCCTGGCCTTGTTTTCCTCCACTAAGATATACTCCCACCTCCGGACCTTTGCATTTGTTCCCTCTGCCTGGAATGCTCCTCCCCCAGAAATTGTCACGGCTCACTCTCTCACTTCCTTCAGGTCTTTGCTCAAATGTCACCTTCTCAATGAGACCACTCTTAATCATACTACTTAAAATTGAAACCCCCCCCACCCCCAAGTTCCCCTTCCCTTTGCATGCATTATTTTTTCCCGGAAGCACTTAGCTTCCTCTCTCACACCCCGTCTTGTATTTGCGTATTCTGGACTGTGTCCCCCGCTAGAACGTCAGCACTGTGACAGCAGGGATTTCTGTTTTTGTTCACAGTTGTGTCTCCAGCTCCTAGGTCAGTGCCTGGCATTGACTCTGCGTTCAGTAGACCTTTGTTACGTGTATGAAGGACAGAATGAACCAAAAGACCGTAACCGTGGCTGGAACAGGATGTGAAGCCAAGTGTGGTCTGAGATGAGGCAGTGATCAGACCCCGCAGAGACTGGAGCACAAGGTGAGGAGCTTGCTCTTTCTCGGAAGGGCACTAGGGAGCCATGGATGAGTTGGGAGCAGAGGGAGGCCAGGGTCAGATTCGTGCTTTGGGAAGATCCCCTAGCTGATGCGTGGAGGTTTGGGGTGGAGCTCTGGCGACTGACAATTGTGCTGGACGATGAGAATGGTGACCTAAAGAAGCCTAGCAGTTGTCTCGCTCTGTGGAGGGTCTGCAGCACCAACGTCGCGTGATGGCAGACGTTTCTCGAGCGTTTACTACCAATCAGGTCTTGTGCTAATAAGCTTTTCCTGTGCTGCCCCTCCACAGATCCTGAAAACATCTCCTTAAGGTAAGAACTATTATAACAGGTCCTAAGTCTTTCCCAAAGCCACACAGCTGGGAATGACCAAGGAAGGGCAAGCCCAAATCATAATCAGACACAGGCTTCGGGAGGCCTAGCCTGGGCCTGGACTCAGCTTCCACCCCAAGGCGCAGCTTTGGCAAGCCCCTGCCTCGCTGGGGGCCTCTCTCTCCCCCCCCTCAGTGCCGCTGAGAGCAGGGAAGGGCTGTCTGTCTTTACCAAGGTCACGTCCAGCCACTGACAGCGCCCCCCCTCCCACCTTCTGGATTGCCCCGCCCCTCCCCTCTCTCAGCCATCTGGGGCACCTGCTTGGGGAGAGAGGGACACAGGGCTGTGCTACTCACGCAGGGGCTCATTCAGTTCCAGGAGGTGGGTGCTGGCATCCTGCTGGCTCCCTGGGGCTGGCCCTCCTGTCAGAAGGAAGCTCTGCAGGAGAAAGACAAAGCTGCCACCACCACCGTCATCACTGTCACTGTCCCAGGAGGTACAACGGTGTGGCTGTGGTTTAGAGCGTGGCGGGGTCCCAGCGGCCGCAGACGGGCTATCTGACTGTGGGTGAAGCCAGCGTCCTAGATCTCCTCGGTGTGTCCCCGCCAGAGCCTTGTCCTGCCCTTTGTCTGTGCCCCAGCAGGTGGACCGTGCATGTGGGCTCCAGAATCACGGAGTCCTGGCTCCATGTGCTCCTGCTGGGTTCGCCAAACAGGAGATGCCAGCAGGAGGGGGGAGGAAGCAGTGCTGTGATCCAGCTGCTTCTCTGCGATGTGCCACCTCTTGCTGATTCCCAGTGTGCTGCCCACACCTTTGCCAGTCCTGCTTTTACTTACTTATTTTTAAAGATTTTATTTATTTATTTATTTATTTATTTATTTATTTATTCATTCATTATTTATTTATTTATTATTTATTATTTATTTATTTGTTGTTTGTTTGACAGAGCGACACAGCGAGAGCAGGAACACAAGCAGGGGGAGTGGGAGAGGGAGAGAAGCAGGCTTCCCGCCGAGCAGGGAGCCCGATGCAGGGCTCGATCCCAGGACCCTGGGATCACGACCTTAACGACCAAACCACCCAGGCACCCCAGTGGTCCTGCTTTTAAATGCTCCTCAACGCCCCCATGTGCGCGTGCTGTTTCCTGCCCAGACTCTGACCAATGCAGTTGCTCGTCCTCTCTTGTGCAAATGTGACCATGAAGAATAACAATCACGGCGACAGTATCTGAAGAGTGGTCGTGGGGATGAAATAGTTTAATCACACAAGGCAGCGTCTGCCGCAAGGTAGACACTCGGTAACTATCAGCTGTGGATACCATCACACACCTCTCGCGTTCAAATAGCCCTGCTCCGGGTGAGGAGCCAGAGAGCCACGGAAGATCCTGGAGGGAGGCCTGGTGGCAGGGGCGCAGCCTAGGCTGGGTTTTGGAAAGGGCGTCCTGGTTGCCGTTGTGCTGAAAGGACAGCAGGAGCGAGATGGAAGCAGGGAGATGGGGGAAGGAAGGGCATGGGGGATGTTGCCTTTGCTTGGTGGTTTTTATACTGTTTATCGATAGCCACTAAGGATCGGCCTGTTTTCATTTGCTTCTCATGAGTCCTGTGAGATGTAACCATCCCACTTCCCAGATGAGGAAACTGAGGTTCATGGTGGTCCCATCACCTGCTCAAGGTCTCGCAGTTACTAGGTGGCAGACCTGGGACTTGAACCCAAGTCAGTCTGACTTCAGTGTCTGGACTCTTAATGCTACACCAATAATCTGAGGCCAAGAACTGTTCTAGGTTTGGGAGGGAGGCCCACAGGAGAAGAAGTTCCTATACATACTAACCTTTGTCATTTCCCCCCTTTACCCTGCTTAATTTTTCTTCTTAGAACTTACCACCAACTTATATGAATTTGCAAAGCCTTTTCATACCCATGACCTGAGCTAGCAATTCAGGGTCCTAGCCTCACCTGGATGACTCACCTTCCATTTGACCTTCAGCCAGGCCCTGCCCCCTCTGATTTTCCCACCCGTAAAACAGTAGGTTTAAGCCCACTAGGTTCTGAGGGCCAGAGAATCCCACAAATCCCCCAACATACCAGGCTGAGGGGAGGCAGCAGGAAATTTTCGGGCTCTGGGCTGGGGGACCGTTTGGGGGGTCTCACTCCCAGCAGCTCCACCCCCTCGGCTTCGTCCTCTGAGCTCTGAGCCAGGGTCCTGGAGGGAAACAGGTCAGAATCTCAGAACACAACAAACCTGAGCAGGTGTGGGCACCACTGTAAGCAGGTGATGAGCACTCATTCACTCTCCCAAGTGCCTGTTTATTCCTTTACTTGTATATCTACCTATCCTTCTATCCATCAGCCATTCATCCACCCATCTATCCACCCACCCATCCATCCATCCATCCACCCGTCCATCCATCCATCC